GCGCCCTCCGAGCGGGGCCGGGGAGGAGGCCTGGGCGGGCGGCGGCCTCCGCCATGAACCCCCGGGGCCTCTTCCAGGACTTCAACCCCAGTAAGTTCCTCATCTACGCCTGCCTGCTGGTCTTCTCGGTGCTGCTGCCCCTCCGCCTGGACGGCGTCATCCAGTGGAGCTACTGGGCCGTCTTCGCGCCCATCTGGCTGTGGAAGCTCATGGTCATCGCGGGCGCGTCCGTGGGCGCCGGCGTGTGGGCCCGCAACCCTCGCTACCGCGCCGAGGGGGACGCCTGCGTGGAGTTCAAAGCCATGTTGATCTCCGTGGGCATCCACCTGCTGCTGCTCATGTTCGAAGTCCTGGTGTGCGACAGGGTGGAGAGGGGGACCCACTTCTGGCTGCTGGTCTTCATGCCGCTCTTCTTCGTCTCCCCCGTGTCCGTGGCCGCTTGCGTCTGGGGGTTCCGACATGACCGGTCGCTGGAGCTGGAGATCCTGTGCTCCGTCAACATCCTGCAGTTCATCTTCGTCGCCCTGAGGCTGGACAGGATCGTCCACTGGCCCTGGTTGGTGGTGCTGGTCCCGCTGTGGATCCTCATGTCCTTTCTCTGCTTGGTCGTGCTCTACTACATCGTCTGGTCGCTGCTCTTCCTGCGGTCCCTGGATGTGGCTGCGGAGCAGCGAAGAACACACGTGACCATGGCCGTGAGCTGGATAACCATGGTGGTGCCGCTTCTCACTTTCGAGGTCCTGCTGGCTCACAGGGTGGACGGTCACAACACCTTCTCCTATACATCCATATGTGTCCCGCTGTGGCTTTCGCTGATAACGTTAATGGCCACGACCTTTAGGCGAAAGGGGGGCAATCATTGGTGGTTTGGGATTCGCAGAGATTTCTGCCAGTTTCTGCTGGAAATTTTCCCGTTTTTAAGAGAATACGGGAACATTTCGTACGACCTACATCACGAAGATAGTGAAGATGCCGAAGAAACATCCGTTCCAGAAGGCCCTAAGATTGCCCCCATATTTGGAAAGAAGGCCAGGGTGGTTATAACCCAGAGCCCTGGAAAATATGTTCCCCCACCTCCCAAGTTAAATATTGACATGCCAGATTAAACTCCAGTTCTAGGGAGGGCCCCTGGTGGGATAGAAACCATACACACACCCGCAAACTCCACCTTCCTGTTTTTGTCTCTTCCCAAACCTAGAACAGAAAGTGGGGCTTCAGGTCCCTTCATCTCAGCCTTTTTGATGCCTGTCAGCATGCACCATAGCTTTAAGTAGATATTTTAACGTGGTTGTGCTGCGGGGTGTGTGTACACAGGTGAGAGAATTTACGGTCTAGGTTGGGGCTTACAGACAGCCGGGATTAGCAAGTCTTTAAAAGGAGTAACTATACAGCTATTTGATTTGGTTTGGTTTTTTAAGTGCTGATATACCTATCACAGGTATTACTTTTTTTAAAGTTTATTTTTAAACACTGCTAGCGTAAAATTGTACTTCACATTGCTCCTGTTGTGACATCATAGCAAATATAAAGAATTCTCTTTGCGACCCCTTGTTTGTAAACCTCACAGTTGTTATTTTTAGTGTGCCTGCTGTTAAAAATCGTTCTTCTTTGGACTTCGCTGGTACTGGTCTTTCGTATCTGAATAGATGACTCTTTGTAAGGGCGTGAAGCCATGCATATATAGTATTTATATGAATATTTTTGCAATGTAATACGTTTAATTCTCGTTCTATACAGTACAGTGTATTATTTTTTTTAAGCTTGTATGTGAAGATCTATGTCTACTGCAGATGTTCTTAAAGATTGTTTAAAACATGAATATGTGCCTGG